GCCCGATTTCAAGTAAATTGGGCATCAAACTCCTCATGTTAGTCAGATTGACATCACATTTTGCACAACGTACAAAATTGAGCATAGAATAAGGTTGTTGCGTTTTCTAGAAGTACAGACATAGCCCAAAGGATGACCTATTTATATTTGTTTGAAGTCGATTTACATACTTTTGTCCCATTGTAACAAACGAATGACATATTTATGGATAGATCTAGGTAGATTCACATTTAGGAAAATATCACATATTTTTTTTCATCCCATTTCATGCTAATAGTCCTGTTTAATATACCCATAGTGGTGAAGGGTATCATATAGTCGGCCCCGTCCGACTTTACTACTTTCCTTACTGGTTTTTTTGTTGTATAGGAAAAGAAGAACATCACCAATAAAACCAATGATTTAGAATATTTACTAATAATTCATTGTGTTTTATTTCTTTGCTATTCCTTCCCTTTGTTTTCATTTACACCATTAACTGCTTGGGAGCTCTCGCTGTCGCTTTACTCCGATTCCTCGAGTTAATCATTTGATCACCCCCATCCAACGCAACCACGGCGAGGAGTAGAACAAGCCCCTCGCCTAAACATTTGGTCTCCATTTACTCAATTCTCACGATTTGTGGTATTTGTATACCCTTCACCACATTGTGGTACAAGGTATTATGTATTTGTGCATATGTTTGAAACGTGCAAACGGAAACGAGAATATATTCTTTTGAGAATATGCATAGAATCGCTTTCTGAATCGATTTATGCATGTCCGTCTGTCTGTCCGTCTGTTTGTGTTAAATTGTTAACAAAGTATAGGTCGCATTTACAATCCGATTTGAATGAAATTTGGTACAGCTTATTTATTTGGCCCAAGGACGAACCCTGTTGAAATTGGGAAAATCGGTTCAGATTTAGATATAGCTCCCATATATATTTTCGTCAGATTTTATGTAAACGGTGCAACACAGTCCCTATATGTCTTTAGATTTGCACGAAATTTAACATAGCTTACAGAATTAAGTCTACAGTGTTGTGTGCTAAGTTCCGCGAAAATCGGTTCAGATTTAGATATAGCTACCATATACATTTTCGTCCTATTTCATGTAAATGGTGTACCGAAGTCCCTATATATCATTTGATTTTCACGAAATTTTGTACAGCGTACTGAATTACGTCTAGAATGATGTGTGTAATGTTTCGTGAAAATCGGTTCAGATTCAGATATAGCTCCGATATATATTTTAGTCCGATGTCAGGTAAATGGTGCACCAAAGTCCCTATATATCTTTCGATTTGCACGAAATTTTACCTGAAAATCGGTTTAGATTTAGATATAGCTCACTTATATATTTTCTTCCGATTTTTTGTAAATTGTGCACTAATGACCCAAAGTTTGTCCGATTGGCACATGATTTTGTACAATGTACGGAAACTAATCTCTGGCAAGTTTCCTTAAAATCCGTTCAGATTTATACAGATATACATTTTCGTCCAATTTTAGGAAAATGTTACACCAAACTCCTAATGTTTGTCAAATTGACATGAAATGTTTGCACAACGTATCAAATTGATACGTTTTTCATTGGTACAGATGCTGACATAGCTCCCATATATGAACAGTGCGACATACCGAATATCATGTATCAAATGTGCTAAATCTAAATCTGCCCGAATGAAATTTAGCATAGGTTACAGAAACGCATATTTAGGGTAGACCCATATAACGGAACCCCAAAAATTTCGACATTTTTAACTTTAGGTACTTTTTGCAAACGAATTGGATCCAATCTAATATTTTGGATTCTCATTGGGTAGGAAATAATAATTATCCCAAAATATTTCAGTACGACAACGCCTTGTTTTTTGGAACAGGCTGAGAAGCAATCAGATTAATCTGATTAGATCTTTCCCTAGAAACAAGTTACTTAACAACCAGTAAGGAAAGCAGTAAAGTCGGACGGGGCCGACTATATTATACCCTTCACCACTTTGGGCATATTATACATATGTGTCCTAAAAGACGTCGCTTTTTCGAAGGAACATTGACATGAAATTGAACGAACTTAAATATGTGATCTTTATCTATAACTAAACCGACTAACATCAATTCCTACACATGTCATTCTGCTACCTATGCTAAATTTTGTAAATCGATTTAAAGCATACTTGACACACGCTATTCGGTATTCTTCACTGTTTAAAATTTAATCTCAATCAAACACCAATTGATAGTTTGGTGTACAATAAACATGAATAAGTCGAAATTATATATGGAAGCTATGCTATATCTATAACTGAACCGATTTCAAGGAATGTTGCCAGAGATTAATTTATATTAATTTCAGTACGTTGTGTCAATCGGCCTAGCTACGGGGTCTTTAGTGCACTATTAAAATCGGTCGAAAATATATATAGAATATGTTTGTAAATCTGATCCGATTTTCACGAAACTTTGCACCCATCATTCTAGATGTAATTCAGTACGCTATACCCAAAATCGAAAGATATAGGGGGCTTTGATGCAGCATTTACATAAAATGTAACGAAAATATATATGGGTGCTATATCTAAATCTGAACCGATTTTCATCAAACTTTGCACACATTATTCTAGACTTAATTTAGTAAGCTATGCCAAAATTCGTGCAAATCAAAAAAAAAAAAAAAAATGCAGGGACTTTGGCGCACAATTTACCTAAAATCGGGTGAAACTTCATAAGGGAGCTATATCTAAATATGAACCTATTTTCACGAAACTTAGCGCAGATCATTCTAGACTTAATTCAGTACGCTATGCGAAAGTTCGTGCAAATCTAATGATTTTCAAGGACTTTGGTCCACCATATACTTAAAATCTAAATCTGAACCAATTTTCACGAAACCTAGCACACGTCATTCAAGACTTAATTTAATACGCTATGCCAAAATTCGTTCAAATCAAAAGATTTGCAGGGACTTAGAAGAACCGTTTACTTAAAATCGGGCGAAACTATATATGGGAGCTATATCTACATCTGAAACGATTTGCACGAAACTTAGCACACGTCATTCTAGACTTAAATTGGTACGCTATGCCAAAATTCGTGAAAATCGAAAGATTTGCAGGGCCTTTGATGGAACATTTACCTTAAATCGGGCGAAACTATATATGGGAGCTACATCTAAATCTGAACCGATTTTCACGAAACTTAACACACATCATTCTAGACTTAATTCAGTACGCTATGCCAAAATTCGTGCAAATCTAATTATTTTCAGGGATTTTGGTGCACCATTTACTTAAAATCGTAGGAAACTATATATGGGAGCTATATCTAAATCAGAACCGATTTTTACGAAACTTAACACACAACATTCTAGACTTTATTCAGTGCCTTATACCAAATTTCGTGCAAATCGAAAGATATATAGGGACTTTGGTACACCATTTACCTAAAATCGGGCGAAACTATATATGAGAGCTATATCTAAATCTGGACCGATTTTCACGAAACTTTGCAGACATCACTGTAGGCTCAATTCAGTACGCTATGCCAAATTTCGTGCAAATCGAAAGATATATAGAGACTTTGGTACACCATTTACCTAAAATCGGGCGAAACTATATATGGGAGCTATATCAAAATCTGAACCGATTTTCTCTGATTTCAATAGGGTTCGTCCTTGGGCCAAACCAATTGGCTGTTCCAAATTTCATTCAATTCGGATCATAAATGCGACCTGTACTTTGCTCACACAAATACATGGACGGACATGCATAGATCGACTCAGAAAGTGATTCTATGCATATTCTCAAAAGGAACCATGGGTCTATCTCGATTATTTTTGCCTGTTGCAAACATATGCACAAAGACATAATACCCTGTACCACAGTGTGGTGAAGGGTATAAAAAGGCCGTCAGGTCAAAACGTCCAATTAACTATAGAATTAAACTTAAATATCTTTAGATCATTATAAGTTACAATATTAGCTTTAGGTTTAATGTAATTCCGAATATTATCTGTTGAAGTATCAGGGTGTAAAATTAAAAAATTTCTGCGAATACTTTTTGTATCCACCAAGAATCACGAATACCAAATTACTGCCATCTACGACCATCAATTATAGGAACGAATCATGAATGACAAATTAGGAGGAAGCAGTATTTAAGTAGTGTCCATATTTATTATTCTATTCCTTACACAATTAAAACAAAAAACATCAGGCATTCTTATTTAAAAATATATATTTTTATATTTATTTTTCATATATACATTGAAAATATACTTTTAACATAGAAATAAATAATTACACAATAAATCTTAATAAACAATAGTTGAAGTACCTTGGAGGTTTTGACTAATCCAACAATATACATTCTATTTACAATAATTATTGGATAAATTAAATTTGAACTAAGTTAACAGTTTGTTTTTTTATTAACCTTTTTAAATAGATTTTTATTTTATATATAAAAATACTTTAAGAAATATATTTTCTACATCCAGTCTGTAGAATGTAAAATTGTAATAGCTATTAAAAGCTGCCCTATGACCATTAGTATGTATGTACAATTTCCTCATTTCTAGGTGTAGAGTGTATATATCTATATATGTATTTTGTTTGTTTCTTTGTTAAAAACTAATTAAAAGTTCTTCGACAAAATCCATCTAAAAATTTGAAGAAAAATATATTTTTGTTTTGTTTTCTGGAATTTTGATTTTAGTTCCTTGGGAAACCAAAGTGTTTGTTGTTGTTGACTTTACATTCCTGATTAATTTACATTAAAATGTTTTTTTACGATTCAACGATTTATCGTTGTTGTGGTTGTTTTTGTTATTTTGTTATGGATTTATGTAGAAAATATTCGATGTAATTTTATTACAACAAAATTTTAAATGTTCTCACTAAATGTTCTCTTTCACTCAGCCAGCAATTAAAATTCCTTAAGATTATTATTTGTGGTTGTTGTTTTTGTTTTTGTCTTTGGTATTTGATTTCAAGAGATTATGCAATATAAATCTTTTGGATTTATGATTCTACAGCATTATTGTCCTCATCACATGAAATATAACGAATTTTTAATTTCTTCCTTTCCAGCCCATTGTGCACCGATATTGAGAGCGGTGATTCTTCTCCCGTTTTGATCATCTTCTCTGTAGCCAATATACTATTCCGATGTATCATCATCGTACAGGTATTGCCCATATGATTCACCGTTGTATTTTTATGATCAGGTAATGAGGAGTTGTTAGCCACTTGTATCTGGGTCTCAATTGTACTGCGCTTCCAATAGGGTTTATTATCTACTGAAAATAAATAAAAAAGGGAAGAGGTAATTAATTTAGGTATAGATTTAGAAAATTTCTAGTGAATAGTAGCAAAAAAGCCGTTAAGTTCGGCCGGATCGAACTTTTTATACCCTTCACCAAATGTGAAGTTTCAAACCCCGCTGGGAATTGTATTATACTGCCATAACATCGGATATAATTCATATATAAGGGGAATACCGATTACAAACCGATTGGTCCAGAATTCGAATCCCAGCGTAGGAGGAAAACTTTTTTCAAAACGGGTTTCAATTATTTGTAAAAAGATGCAAACATTCTTCTTCATATGGGGTGTTTCGAAAGACCCCTAACATTTGAATAACCAAGCTCAGCCCATTAGGATAAGACAAACCAGTAAGGAAAGTAGTAAAGTCGGGCGGGGCCGACTATATGATACCCTTCACCACTTTGGGTATATTCGACAGATGAATCCTAACAGACGTCGCAAATTTTAAACGAAAATGTGAACCGATTTCAACAATTTCAGGAAACTTAACACACATCAATTTAGGTCTAATTCATTACGCTTTGCCAAATTTCGTGAAATACGAAATATATATATAGGGACATCATTCTATAACTAATTCATTACGATGTGCCAAATTTTCTGCAAATCAAAAGATATATAGGGACTTTGGTGCACCATTTACCTTAAATCGGACGAATATATATATATATATATATATGGGAGCTATATCTAAATCTGAACCGATTTTCAGGAAACTTTACACACATCATTCTATATCTAATTCATTACCATGTGCCAAATTTTGTGCAAATCGAAAGATATATAGGGACTTTGGTGCACCATTTACCTTAAATCGGACGAATATATATATGGGAGCTATATCTAAATCTGAACCGATTTTCAGAAAACTTTACACATATCATTCGAGACTTAATTCATTACGCTGTGCCAAATTTCGTGCAAATCGAAAGATATATAGGGACTTTGGTGGACCATTTACGTTAAATCGGACGAAACTATACACGGGAGCTATATCTAAATCTGAACCGATTTTCAGGAAATTTAACACACAACATTCTGGGCCTTATTCATTACGCTGCGCCAAATTTCGTGCAAATCAAAAGATATATAGGGACCTTGGTGCACCATTTACCTTAAATCGGACGAATATATATATATATGGGAGCTATATCTAAATCTGAACCGATTTTCAGGAAACTTTACACACATCATTCTATATCTAATTCATTACCATGTGCCAAATTTTGTGCAAATCGAAAGATATATAGGGACTTTGGTGCACCATTTACCTTAAATCGGACGAATATATATATGGGAGCTATATCTAAATCTGAACCGATTTTCAGAAAACTTTACACATATCATTCGAGACTTAATTCATTACGCTGTGCCAAATTTCGTGCAAATCGAAAGATATATAGGGACTTTGGTGGACCATTTACGTTAAATCGGACGAAACTATATACGGGAGCTATATCTAAATCTGAACCGATTTTCAGGAAATTTAACACACATCATTCTGGGCCTTATTCATTACGCTGCGCCAAATTTCGTGCAAATCAAAAGATATATAGGGCCTTTGGTGCACCATTTACATTAAATCGGACGAAAATATATATGGGAGATATTTCTAAAACTGAACCGATTTTCACGAAACTTAACACACATCATTCTATACCTTATTCATTGCGCTGTGCCAAATTTCGTGCAAATCGAAAAATATATAGGGACTTTGGTGCAACATTTACATTAAATCGGATGATAATATATATGGGAGCTATATCTAAATCTGAACCGGTTTTTCCCAATTTCAATAGGGTCCTTGGGCCAAATAAGTGACCTATGCCAAATTACATCCAAATCGGATCATAAATGCGACCTGTACGTTGTTCACAAAAATACATGGACGGACAGACGGACACGCGTAAATCGACTCAGAAAGTGATTCTATGCATATTCTCAAAAAGAACCATGTGTCTATCTCGTTTCCTTTTGCCTGTTACAAACATATGTGTGGTGAAGGGTATAAAAAGGTTAGAAAGTTAGCGATACCAAGAGTAAAATGGCAACACTTTATTAGCAAGGACACAAACCAATTTAAAACTTAAGGATACGTTGTTTCTAGGCAACGATAGATGGCATTCCCATACAACAATGATTAACGAAACTAACACAAGGATTACTCGATTAAGATGGCAAATCTTTGTGGAAGCCATGTGGACCATTTACGTACAGGATTTTGTAAGCACAGCAAATCAGAAATACTAAATTTCTGCAAATTTTAATAAGTGCATTTTCGTAAGTCTCAAGGCGTGAACAACTCGTCTAAATGTTGTGGGATGGAATACTTATATTAAATATTCAATCCTATATATAGGCTATCCCTAAAGAAGGATCAGTATTGTGTAGTTCTGGCTCGAATATATGCTAAGCAATGAGAATACACAATCCTAAAGTAAAGCCATTTCGGTTGGAAAACGTGGACTTAGTGTGTAATGTCATGTGTAATCGACAATCGAAGCCAAGACACCCCAGAAAATTCAAGCTAATACACATATTGAGCTTATCCAGAAACTGTAAAATGTTCAGAACCGAGTCTCTTAATTAAATCACACAAACTACCAAAGACTTCACTCTGCAGCCGGCTCTACCTACCGAATTGACTGGGAGGATATCTCCGACCAGAGACTGTCACCTGAACTACTTCATGTTCGTGCCGTATTTTTATACCCTCCACCATAGTATGGAGGGTATATTAATTTTGTTTTTCCGTTTGTAAGTCATCGAAATAATCATTTCCGACCCTATAAAGTATATATGTTCTTGATCAGCGTAAAATTCTATGACGATCTAGCCATGTCCGGCAGGTCAAGTTCGAAGATGGGCTTTATCGGTCCACGTTTAGGCATAGCTCCCATATAAGGGTACCCCCATATGTTCGGTATTTTGGGGTTCTTGAGCGCGTTTTTCAACCGAATTCGCAGAAATTTGGTACATTGGGTACTCAATGTATCCACAAAAAATTATAAATATAGGTCCACTTTTTCTGGTAGCCCCCATATAACGGTACCTCCTAATTTTCAGTATTTTGGGGGTTTTGAACGTATTTTTCCGCCGAATTTGCTGTAATTTAGTATTATGAGTTCTTAATAGGTACCAAATCTCTCCACAAAAAATTATGAATATAGGTCAATTTTTTCGGATAGCCCCCATATAAGGGTACCCCCCAAATGTCGTATTTTGGGGTTCTTGAGCGCATTTTTCAACCGATTTCGCTGAAATTTGGTACATTTGGTTCCTATTGGGTGCCAAATATCTCCACCAAAAATTATAAATATAGGTCCAATTTTTCTGGCTATTTTGAGTTTCTTGAGCACGTTTTTCAACCAAATTAGCTGAAATTTGGTATTTTGTAGTCGAATATGGTAACAAATTATGGTACAAAAAATTTTTAATATGCACCCCCTTTTTGGGGTAGTCCCCATATAACCCGTTTTTTATATTAAAATAGTTATGCAATTTGTTCCGCGTTTGGGTTTGGTTTTAAGACTCTGTTGTAACTATATCACCTGTGGAGGATATCGAGATAAAAAACTAGAACGTAAGGTTCGATAATGAACTATATATGAACTATAACCCGTATTTAAACCTAGCCCCTGTGTGGGAGGTACCAGAAGGAGTGGACCGATATTCCCCATCTTCGAAGTTGAACTAAGTTTGGAAGAAATAATAAGATTGGCAAAGTTTGGATGAAATGTAAATTTTCTGAAACGGATTTGGTCCAAAGAAACATGGGGTCTAGAATCGATATTTTAATTAGCCACAGTGTATAATTATCCATTAAAAATTACTGAATTCTTTATTATGGTTTACATAATCCCTTTTTAGAAATGTCGGTATAGGTCCACTTTTTGGTATGTTCCCATTATTTTCATTTCTAGTACCTGTCAGTATATCTATGGTGGAGGGTATCCAAAGTTCGGCCCGGCCGAACTTAACGCTTTTTCACTTGTTCAAATATGGGATAGGCACCATATCCCGGGAAGCCAGCTTGAAAGCGCAACATCACCGTTTGTTAGAACCGCATTTACCTCAGGTCTATTTCTGTGAGATGCAATAGGACTCTTGGGACTACAGGACTACTCTGAGTTATGCGGAGTTATGTTGCTGCCTGCTGCGTGTCCTCAAAATATTCTCCGTCAACTCTTTAGCAGATAAGTCAAATGTAATGGTCACATGGACCCAAGAAACTAAATTGACTAACGTCTGCAGCTTGCACGTTACGATGGTTACAACGAGTTGCGGGAGGATCGCACTAAAAGCAGAGGTGGGTGACATGCGTTCTGTGCTAGACCATAGTGACCCATACATGGAATGTAGAGGTATAGTAGTTAAGTGCGGTACTGCTGTACCCCGAGATATTTGCCCTATATAAGCTCGCCTTTGGAAGTTAATTAAAATGAAATGCTAGAATATTTCAATGCCCATCTCTGAGCTCTGGCATTCTGTCCTAAATACTGACCATAAGGGTGCAGCATTGGCCGAGCAAATTGATAGCTAGAATGACGGTGATGTCCTCTCGAGAATGAGAAGAAAAGGCCACAGTTCGCCAGATGAAGTAATCTCGATGTCCGTCATTCTATTGATTCAGACCACCTCCCCATTATTGTTTTCATTAGATTTTATAACCTTCAGAACACCGAACTTTCCGGAACAATCCTAAAGCTGATTGGCAAGGTTTCAGAGATTCCACCAATCAACGCTCCAAATCCCTCAGATCTTTGGAGGAATTTTTGGGACATCATCATTGCTTCAGCCGACCGATATATACCTGCTTGACGAATACCCGAATTAAGACCAAACTTCCCAGCATATGTGACGGTACTTACGAATAAATGTCGAAAAGTTGAAGATTCGTATAGTGAAACATGGAGTTTCCCAAGGTATAGCCCTTCAACCTCTACCTTCCTGATATTCCAGAATGTATGGGGATGATTGCACGATCATGACGTCGGATTCTGTTATTGATAACATATGTGGAAGGATAAACGTCTACACGATCTGATCTTGTGAAATTCTTCCATTTAAGGTGTATGAAAATCCCTGCCACCAGCTGAATAAAGGAGAGAAGATTCCGACAGCCTTTTGAAGTCGTCTGGGCAAGCCACTGCTATATGCGATAAGTGGAGGAACAATATCCTTAAATCGGCCGCAATTCGTGTGCTGATAAGGAAACCTTGTGGTTTGCGAATCTAAGTGATACACAGTGGAAGAATATATAGACCTGTCAGTTGTGGCAGTGAAAACTGCAATTGTTGCCTCCTGATTACACCAGTGTACCATCTTTATGAAGAGACGAAAATCATTTCAGTCCCTTGGCACAATTAAAAGTTATCAATGCCGTACTCGCTGGGGTGTTATAGTCGGAAACACCCCTGCCATAGCCTTATGGACAGGCTTCAGCTTCCCAGGATCGTCAGGAAAGATATTCATGATCTTGAGGGAGAGAGGTATAAGCGTGAACCACTAGATCAACAGGCTTATCAAGCAGGTCTATAGTCGGAAAACCCCTGTTATTGTCGGAAACACTCCTGCCATAGCCTTATGGACAGGCTTCAGCTTCCCAGGATCGTCAGAAGAGATATTCATGATATTCATATTGAAAGAGAGAGGTACAAACGTGAACCTCTAGGTCAACAGGCTTATCAAGCAGGCCTGAATATCATTCATACAGATAGAGGAAATGCTATGAATGGAATGCAAAACTCGGAGAACATCCATAGTAGCAGAGAAACAGCTGCATTAAAAGTTCTTAAAAAATATTTTTAAAAAATCTACACCTATCGATAGTCCTTCAAAAATATTTTTAAAAATCTACGCTTATTAAAAGTCACAAAATATTGTTAAAGCATCTACGCGCATGAAAAATTCTTCGAGAAATAGATTTAGAAAAGGAGAAGCAGTTGTCTAGGCAGCACGAGGCACGAGTAGTCTTAGTAGTACTGGGCTCGAATTGACCTAACGCATGCGCAGAATGTGGACTAGGACCACACGACGCGTTGCTTTTGTCTACGATTTCTCAATGGACGAAACAACCTTCTTGAACTTGTACACAGAGGGCAACAGAACGGGGCAACACTTAATCGATTCCCTTTCTTGTATTTCAGTTGCTACAACAACAACCACAGTCTACTCCATTCGTACTCGAAACAGCCAAATCGATTTGGAACATGTGTTCAGAATCTTCAAATTTCACACATAGCTTACAAATCGAAACACTCCAATATCGTAATACTTACTTTTCATTCTCGATCCATGATTATTTGAACTATTTTTGTTTAGCGTCATGCGACTACGCGGCGAATGAATTTGTATTGCAGCAGCATTGAAGAAAAGGCAGCAAATGGCTTTTTGAAAATACATTCGAAATCTGAAAAATATTCGCAAAACACAACAACAAAATAATATTTTAATATCCGTTTTCTAAACAAAACAAAATTTCCACTTCACCAGCAAACTTACCTTTTGTTCATCCAATAGTAAATAATTGGATTGACCATGGCGTTGGACATGGCCAGCCAATAGAAACCCAAATACATGTGCTGGACATATTTCGCTGACGTGACTTGGTTATTGTGATAGGCATAAATGAAGAACAGATGATAGGGCAGCCAGCAGATGGCAAATATTGAAACAATGGCTATGAACATTCGCACAACTTTCCTCTTCGATTTCATCGATTCCATTTGACGTTCGGTGGTTTCGCCAATGGAGCGGCTACCCCATAATACACGGCCCATTAATGTGTAACAGATTAGCATAACAATCATTGGTATGCCATAGGTGATAACCAGTATGATGATATTGTAGCTGTGTGTGTGCATGAGAATGAGAAGAAAGGATTTGTTTATTAGAGGAGGGCGCTTTGTTTGTATTTGTATTTCTTATTTGTGCATTGTATTGTATTACAAAGGAGGAAGTGAGCTGTGTTTGTTTGTGTGTGATTACTACTTACACATAATCCAAAATTGATGTGGGATATCGTCCATCCGGCCAGAGCATATAACACACCGTCCGTTGTTTGCCATTATAATACCTGTACAAATACATACAAAGGGAAGTGGTATGAAATTAATCCGTTTGTTTACATGAAATCAATATTGTGTTGCGAGGATAATTGAAAGCAAAGATGATGATGTCGAATGGTTTCGTTGGAAATGTTTGTGTATCAAATATTTATTCACCCAATGGGAAAATGTAGGAACAAACAAGTTAATAGGGATATTAAGTTGTTAAAGGTATATATAAACTAAAGCAATAAATCGACGTTAAGTTCGCTTTTTGATATCTTCCAAAATTAGTTTTCAATAAATTCACGCTTATTGGTATTCCATTAGTTTTCCCTTATCGAAAAATTTTAAAAAATATTTGTTAAAAATCTACGCTTTTTGAAAATCCTGTTTAAAAATCTACGCTTATTGTAAAGGCGCCGAAATTGCGTTTCGAAAAATATAGAAAATAAAACACGAACGTTTTAGTTTCTGATTCCAGAATTTTATTGATTTATTAAATATTAATAATAATAATAATAATAGGGGAAGATAAACAGAATAGGAAAGAACAGATCGCCTGTGTTACGAAGCGATCGTGACGAGAAGAAAACTAACAATAACAACAATGCTGCCAAGTGGCATTGGCGCAAAACAATACTCATTAGAAAACTGACAGTTCAATGTTGTAGCAATAAGGAGTATGCAGTTTTCTAATGAGTATGCAAACAAACACAATGAACACGAGCGTTCAAAGGATGCATTTCCCAACAATGCATATAAAAGCGATTCTTACTTAAACACTTATTGTAAGTCCTTTAAAAATATTTTTAACAATTAAGAGTAGAATCGAAAGTGATAGTCTTTAAAAATTATCGATAAATCGAATATATTGATAGCCATTAAGCATTGTTTTTTCATAGTCGATCATTACCTGTTTTTTAGAAAACCCAGGCTTGGTCATAGACTACAATATATATGATACCCTTCACCACTTAGTGTACATACAGGCGGTGCTGATATATACAATATCCTGCAGATAGAACAGACATATCAACTTTAGAGGAGCTTAGAAATGGAATTGGGCGAAATTAAATGTGCATAGATATTTGAATCTATTAAAAACCTTATACACATACCATTCTGAAATCTATGAAAAATTCCATGTCAATCGGGGAGACACGGATTCTTTGACGTGCCATTTGTATAAAACCGTGCAAAATTATGTTCGTATGTAAATTTGAACTTAATTGAATAACTGTGACATATACCATTTCGCATGATGCAGCACAGTGCGCTGTCCGCAATTTTACCTCGTGTATACGGAACTGCCGAAGACTCCTCGTTGAGCCATTTACATAAAATCCGACAAAATATTTTTAAATCTAAGCAGATTTTTACAACTTTAATACACATCACTCTAAACTCAAGTATTCCGAATTTCACATAAATCGAACAAAGGTAGGCTCTTAGGTGCACATAAAATCGGACGAAAATGTATTTTGGGAGCTCTATCTACATCTGAACCGATTTCTGCAAAACTTCGCAAATATAAAACTGGACCCAATTTATAACAATGTGCACTTGTGCCACATTTCATCCAAATCGGATTATAAATGTGACCTGTATTTTGTTTACAATTTAACATCAACAGACGCACGGACATGCATAAATCAACTTAGAAAGTGATTCTATGCATATTCTAAAAAGGAACGCTATGTCTATTTCCTTTCCTTTTACATGTTACAAACATAAGCACAAAGACATAATACCCACAGTGTGGTGGTGAAGGGTATACAAATCCGCTTATTGGTAGTCTTTGAAAAAATATTTTAAAAAATTCTCGCTTATTTAGAAAATATTTTTAAAGTTTATTGATAATCATTATTGGTACATGGTATTATGTCTTTGTGCATATGAATATGCATAGAATCACTTTGTGAGTCGATTTATGCAGGTCTGTCTGTTGATGTTAAATTGTAACAAAGTACAGTTCGCATCCGATTTGGATGAAATTTGGTACAGTTCATTTACTTGGCTCAAGGAAGAATTCTGTTAAAATTGGTGAAAATCGGTCCAGATTTAGATATAGCTCCCATATAAATTTTCGACCGATTTAATATTAATGGTGCATTAACGTCCCTGTATATGTTTAAATTTTCACGAAATTTACCATAGCGAACTAATTTGAGTCTGGAATTATGTGTGGTAGGTTTCGTAAAAATCCCATATATATTTTCATCCGATTTTATGTAAATGGTGCACCAAAGTCCCTATATTTCTTTCGATTTGCACGAAATTTGGCAAAGTGAACTAAATTGAGTCTATATATTTCCATCCGAAAAATTATTTGTGTTTAGTTTGAATTGATTCTAGAATGATGTGTGTTAAGTTTCAGGCAAATATACAATATATTTTCGAGATAAACCCATGGTTCCTTTTGAGAATATGCATAGAATCACTTTCTGATCAAAGTGGGACAGAATGTCGTTATTGATTTATGTGGTACATGTCCGTCTGTCCGTCCGTTCATGTATTTTTGTTAACAAAGTACAGGTCGCCCATATATATTTTCGTACAATTTAAGGTAAATGGTGTACCAAAGTCCCTATATATCTTTCGATTTGCACGGAATTTGGCATAGAGCACTGAATTAGGTCAAGAATGATGTGTGCCAAGTTTCGAGAAAATCGGTTCTGATTTCGATATAGAAAGCTTCCATATATAGTTTCGTCCGATTTAAGGTAAATGGTGCACCAAAGTCTGTATATATCTTTCGACTTGCACGAAATGTGTGCTAAATTTCGAGAAAATTGGGTCAGATTTAGATATAGCTCCTATATATAGTTTCGTCCGATTTAAGGTAAATGGTGCTCCAAAGCCCCTATATATCTTTCGATTTGCACGAAATTTGGCACAGAGTACTGAATTAGGACCAGAATGATGTGTGCCAAGTTTCGAGAAAATCGGGTCAGATTTAGATATAGCTCCCATATATAGTTTCGTCCGATTTAAGGTAAATGGTGCACCAAAGTCCCTATATATCTTTCGATTTGCACGAAATTTGGCATAGAGTACTGAATTAGGACCAGAATGATACGTGCTAAGTTTCGTGAAAATCGGTTCAGATTTAGAAAGAGCTTCAATTTAATTAAATGGTACACTTAAGGCCCATACAGACCCATACACGTACAGAAATTAATAAAAATTAATATCTATCAAGTTTCCTTGAAATCGGTTCAGATTAGCTTC